GGTGGGAGCGAAGCCCGCCTCAGCGGGTTTTGCTCCCTTCTCTGCTTTCCTCCAGCCACAGTAAGCCCTATTCTTGCAGGAATCTTCCTGCAACGGGCCTCTAGTATATAATAAAAGGCTAATATGCAAATCGACAGCACGGTGGAACAACTGGTTGCTATAACGCGCACTGACCAGCAGGGGGCAGACGCTCAATGTAGGAGCTGCCCCCTAGTGGTCAGTGCGCTTCCACAGGGGGAGCACTGCTCAGCCAGAAGCTGGTCTCACGGCTGGTGAGCGCAGCGGCGGTGGCAGGAGCCTCTCCTGCTTCTGCAGCAGTGCTAAGGATGTTCGACTGACAGCTCCCATGGGGAGCAGGCCTAAGCTGTCAGTCGGACATCCTCTGAGCGCTCCCAGACTGTGAAAGGGTGCAGGCTGGGCTGAGGGACCCCCCGAGTGCACAAATTTCATGCACTGGGCCTCTAGTATTTCAGTAAGGAAGAACGTGATGCTTAGGGGTATAATATATAGAACTTTCTCTGTATTTGCAATTGTGTCCTTCTACCTTCTAAATGCTGAGCTTTCCTTTGTGATTTGAAATTTTTGGACTTCAGAGGGCAGCACAGTAATTTGGGCTGAAGGCTAGGAATAGAGGAAAGTAACAATGATTTTCTGATGTCACACCAGGGCTGGAAATCTATTACACTAGGTAGTGGTAAGCACTAGTTTTATTCCCATTTCTGAATTTCCCCTCCAGAATGTATTTGTTGCAGTTGGAAGGGGTTTATACGTGTATAACCTTCAAATGAAGCGTGTGATTGCCTGCCAGAAAACTGCCCATGACTCCAGGGTCCTGCACATTGCCAAGCTTCCAAACAGGTACAAGTTCCCATCTGCTTTGCAACAGATGAGAGAAATTCACAGTTCCTAGGCTACCAATGTAATTTCTCAAGTGGCAAAGTTGCCTGGCTTTGTGACTTGACCTGCTATATTCTTTTGGAAATGGATAATACCATGTGGCTATCTCTAATAAAAGAGTTTGTGGCAATGTATTATAACATTTACAAGAAGCAAGGTTCAGATGAATTATATTGAATCTCATTATAAGAAGCATTACTTTATGGCATTTATTTTAACAGGTGAAAGACTTTTGGGCATTTACTAAGTGCTAATTTTTCTTTTTATATTTTCCATAAACACGTCTTTTTGTTGTTTGTTTATAGCCAGAATCAAATGGAAATCTCCTGTTGTCAAAGGTTACTGAGACTTTCCTCTTAGAAAATTTGGCTGCTGAATTTTTAGGGAGGAAATTATATGAAGGGAATAGTATTATTTTCTATGCAGGTTATTTTCAGGGTGAGAGGCACCCTGAGCAGAGATATAGTGAGGGGAGGACAGGGGACTGTCGCTCAGGATATTATGAAAGTGTAATTCATACCCTGTTTTCCTGAATGCATTTTTAAAAATGAAGACAAAATATTTATAACTTTTGAGCCAATGTAACAATATAATGTGTGTCTTTCCTGAAGAGTGCTTTTACTTTGCATTGAGAAAGCCATGTTAAATTGTGGTTTTTATCAGCTCCTGCCAAGAGCTGAATAAAAGCAATTGAGGGCTCCACTTATTCTTTTCACTACAAATTTAGCATTGGCCCTCCACGGTGCTCTTTTTATCACTGATTTTCTGTTCTGACAGGCAGTTAATCTCATGCTCAGAAGATGGCAGTGTACGCATTTGGGAGTTACGAGAAAAACAGCAGATTGCAGCTGAACCTGTACCAACAGGTGTGTACCTTTTCTCAAAAAAGGCAGTCTTTCTTTTTTTTCTCATGTGAAAGACAGAAGAAAGGCAGTTATGTATAACCACAAGAATAATATCCAGCATGTCTATATGAGGCATATGGTAATTGGGATTTAGGATTCACATCTTAATATTATTTTAACATAGAATTGCCTCTTTATTTCTATCCAAGTCAACTAGGATTTTCTTGTTTTGAGGAGAAACTTATTTTCTAGTAATCTGATCAGATGGCCTGATGAAGTAATTATTCATTTATATTGTTTATAATTGTGTCTGATACACAAACAATTTGTATGGTCAGATATTAAACTAAAGTGTTCTTTCAGACTTGAGGCATTATATCATTAACATTGAACTCTGTTTATTGAAAAACACACATTTGTGTTTATATCATAATCTCATGAACTCTTAACTTTCAGGTGTTTGGTTCATAAAACACAAAATCATGGTTTATTAGCAACCTTTGCATGAGAAATCAGATGCTGGTACCTCTGGAGTTTCTTCTGGTTATCTGAAGTCATAGGGTATTATTTTTAGTCAACCCTTGTTGGTAGATCTGAATTGTGACTCTTTTTTTCCGGGGGCGGCGGGAGGGGAGCTCTGCCATCCAGGCCTTTTATTCCCAGTGTCTGTCTTTTTCTCAAATTAATACACCTTCACCAGTGAGTGAGTAGGGGCAAAAAAGAGAGATCAGTGACGAACCTGATGCAGGAGGCAACCAGTTGATGTGTCTCTCCTATCGATGTTTCTCTGTCTCTCTCTCCCTATCTCTTCCATTTTCTCTTAAAAAAAGAAAAATCAATGGAAAAATGTCCTTGGGTGAGGATTTTAAAAAAAAAAAGCACAGAAGGTCTTCCCATCTAAATATTGTTTTTCTGATCTTATATTACTATTAGAGGCCAGGTGCACGAAATTCTTGCACAGATAGGGTCCCTAGGCCTAGCCAGCGATCAGGGCTGATCTGTGGTCAGTGTGGGGTGCCCCCTGCCGCCACTGCTGGTTGGGGCCTGTGGGCTGGGGGCAGCTCCTGCATTGATCATCTGCCCCCCTGGTGGTCAGTGTGCGTCATAGCAACCGGTCGTTCTGCTGTTCGGTCAGTTTGCACATTAGGGTTTTATATAGATAGATCATGCGTAAAGAGCCCAGTAATTTTGAAAATGCCTGAAATGATTGTGTTTTTCTAGGTTTTTTTAACATGTGGGGATTTGGAAGAGTAAACAAACAAGCCAGCCAACCTGTTAAAAAGCAACAAGAAAATGCCACTTCATGTTTACTGGAGCTTATTGGAGACTTGATTGGACACTCATCATCTGTAGAGGTATTGTTTTTAATAGGCATATAAATGTCTAGGGAATTCCTGCTTTTGCATTTTACTGCTCTTTATTCTGTTGGTATCATAAAGACCTGTACTTTCTCTTGTCTGTAGGTTTTTATTGAATATAAACATGGAATAGGATAGGTTGTAGTATGAGCAATTAGGATCTTTCTTTACAGAGAGATGATTTGAGGAGCCAAGGAATGAGTTGCTTCTAAATCAGCTATTTCCAATTTATTATGTTTTTTTCCAATCTGACAAAAAAATAGATATCATTTTGATTCATTTACACCATATAGCAATTGTTTTGTTTGCTATTGTCAATATAAGGGAAAAGGTATCAATGCCCCTGATTAAATAGTCATGTACTGCATGTTTTAAAAATACTTCCAGCACACCAGTTGAATATCACTGCTCTAAATAATGGGCTTAATTACCATTATTTATGAGATGAAGATAGCTGACAGTAAGGACAATGTGAATAATGTTGAATATATAACAGTAGTAAATAGAGGATTGTGGAGAGAGAGATATTTAGCCTTACAGAACCTAATTCCAGGGGCCTTTATCATATTCATGAATAGAGTGCTGTTTACCTCCCTTTGAAGGATCATAATTTGTCAGCTTTAGTAAAACCCAGTGTCTTGATTATCATTATGCATATATGAAAATATTAGTTGAGAATTATAAAATGCATACAATTCTAACTTGTAATCCAAATATATTAATATTTCTTATAGGCACCATTGCCTGTAATGAAGGAATAAGAATAATCAAGATAAATAGACGATTGGAACTGGTAAATAGTGTGATAGCAGTATAAACAAGGCCCTAAATAATGACTTTCTTAAATTGTTCTTCCTGTTTCATAGCCAGGGAGGAACAAATTACTTCTCATTTGAAAGTGCATTTATGCTTAGGAGAAGTACCACACTTGTTATGGAGCATTTCCTATATTTCAAGCACTAGACAGTGGAGTTTACAAAGAGATATAAAACTACAATACTTGCCCTATGGATCTTATACTTTAGTAGTGAGAAGGGATACAGACCTAGTAAGCTGTTAATCTAGGCTTCTTATGTGGACCCAGATGCATAGCAGACAGTGGAGAGTCAGGAATGAGAAGTAAATGATCAGTGGAAGATAGAGGACTTGAGCTGAACCTTAAAAGTTAGAGAGGATTGAGGCTCCGAGATACTGGGTACTCATCTTTGCTTTCCTCTAACAAGTAGTCCAGTTGTTTTGTTGTTTAACTTCATTTGCTTGGCTATATGGGAGTGTTGAGGATGGAATGTGGTAGAGAAAAGGACAAAAATAGGAACTATTTGGTGGCAAGGAGCAGATTCACTAGGCTAGAGCATTGGATTTCTCTGAACACGTGCTGACATAGGAGATGAAGCCTGGGAAAGTAGTTGGGTTAGATTATGAATGCCCTTGAATGTAAGGCTGAGGAGTTTGGATTTTCTTTTAAAAATAGTAGGAACCCATTAAAGGTTTCACACGTATTGCTCAGTGGTGGAGGAAACCTTCAAAGTGGCAGTTGTCAAAATATAGAAATGTCAATTTCTTAGGAATTTTCCTGAGTGAAAGTATTGATACTTAAAGCTTTTTTAAAAAAAATATATTTTATTGACTTTTTACAGAGAAGAAGGGAGAGGGATAGAGAGCCAGAAACATCGATGAGAGAGATCGATCAGCTGCCTCCTGCACGCCCCCCAGTGGGGATGTGCCCGAAACCAAGGTACATGCCCTTGACTGGAATTGAACCTGGGACCCCTGAGTCCGCAGGCCGACACTCTATCCACTGAGCCAAACCGGTTCGACGATACTTAAAGCTTTTTTAAAAAAATCGTATCTCTGCTTCACTAAGTACCTGAGAGACTAGATTTTCTATTTTCTGAATTTTCTTATTCCTTTTATTGTATTTTCATCTGTACTCCAACCCCTCTGTGTTCTGTCTTTTCCATGTCCTGAGGATTTTTGTTCCAATATTAACACCCTGCACTCCTACATAAACAGCTGAGGCCTTATCCTGCTATCTTCAAAATGTATAAGTTATTTCAAAGAAAATTCTTGTTCTCCTGTGTTCTTTAATGTTATTTCTCTCCTTTATTTCATTCTTTCCTTGGAGGAGCTCATCCTTTTCATGACTTCATTCATGTCCTCTCTCCACTCCATAGTACTCATGTTGCCTCCTCATCAACACTCCATTTTCCTATGACCCTCCCTTTATTTGGAGATGTTTATGTTTTTGAAACTTTCTCTGACATTTTCAGTTATTATTGATCTATGTCCTCTTTTTCTGAATTTCTGTGACAAATTATAATCTGAACTACTTATTATATAGTACCTGATCACACAGTCTTTAATGGGTGCCCTAATTGTTTCAGCAACTGAATTAGAACCTTCTTGAGGGTAGGGACCATACGCATATAATGACACTCAATAAATGCTTATGTATGGATCGATTATCTTGTTTTATTTACAGATCTGAAGCCACTGTTTATCTTGGGAGAATTCAGACTTTTATTTTGTTAGCCATTTGTGTATAAATAATGGGACAGGTATAAGTGATTAAGTAAAGTAGGTCTGACAGGACTTCTGACAAAATCTTAAAACTAGTACTTGAAGAAGAATATGGTAAAATACAGAAGATACTCTAGGAATTCATGTACATTATAAAAATAGCTGTTATAGTTCTGTAGTTGGGCAGTATTAAAGTTCTAATTATTAAAATACTAGATATCGGTCATTGGTCTAGTATTTATATTTTTAGCACTTATATATTTGTATGTGACTATTATCAACACTTAAAAAATAAAATTTCTCATGGAAAATGATATGGAGTCTTACATTCAGATCCAAAGATATCTCTAAGGTACACATCTTACAAACACACGTGTTGCTTTAATTTGGCCATGTCTCTTCTCCTTGAAGTTCCTGTACTCAGTAGTTTTAAATTTCTTTACAGATGTTTCTATACTTTGAAGATCATGGACTAGTGACATGCTCTGCTGATCATCTCATTATTTTATGGAAAAATGGAGACCGAGAATCTGGATTGCGCAGTTTAAAATTATTTCAAAAATTAGAGGAGAATGGTGACTTGTATCTTGCTGCCTAGTTTAAGGAATTTAGAATACATGTGCATGAACTTGAACATCAAATATAGGGTAATACTCTGAAAACCATTAACATGTACTCACTTAAATGTGTAATGTATTTTTTTCTTGTTACTTTATAAAATTCTGATTGTTTGAATTCTTTTTTTTTGGGGGGGGGGGGCATGCAAACCAGCAACAAGTTGCTTCTTAGGTGTGAGTACATCCACCAAAGAATATACCACAAGTATTTTAGCAGTGAATTTTCAAAAGTTGAAGTTTTAAGATCACAATACAAGTATCTGTTGATACAGAATGAAAGTATACCATAGTGTCCTTACAATTTGAAAAATTTATGCTTTAGAAAATTTTACCCCAGAAATTATGAGCTTGTGGTAAATGAGCATAGTACTCAGAACCTCTTTCTTTAGTATAATTTTATTACCTCTAATTCAATTCTTATTCATCATTAGATTTTTTTAAAGTTGCATATAGTTTCTTTCATTTAGTCTTTGGATTTTGGAATACCTTTGTTCTCAAATGAATAGCTTACGTATCCTTTTTCATTTCTTTAAAATTTTATTTAAGGAAATAAGTATACATGATAATTATAGAAGGTGTTTTGGGAGGAAAAACCCACTGAGGAAGAGGTAGGATGTAGCATAACTTGAATGTAACTTGAGCTCTCCCGGGAACTTTCTTCCCTGTAGGAAATGGAGAGTGCATAATTGTACATATGCTGCTGAAGCAGTGAGTGCTGTTCTAAGGTTCAAACAGAACAGTAAAGTTGTGGTTTTAATTATAAGCTTTTTATTCTTTGGTTATCATTAGAGCCCATTTGATTAAGAATCCTTGTGATAAATTTAAATATATCCTTTCTCTTATAAATTCCTCTCATCTTTAATAACTAATTATCAAGGTTCTGTAGAGCAAATTTGAATCTCTGGTGCCAACTAATTTGTTAAATCATTTTTTATTTTTAGTTCTAGCTACTAAAATTCCTATAAACTCAAATCAGTAGGAATTTTAATGAGGATGTATTTTTCTCCTCAGTGTGAATTGGCCTGAAGAGCTATTGGCTAGATTGGTACTACACTAGCCGCTGCCCTCTTACATGCCAGGGGTGAGAGCTTGGTGAGTAAAGTGTTCCAGTCAGAGACGGCAGTCCAAAGTGCCTGGTTCATCTTACCATTGACTCAGAAATGAAATGCTTGAGACAGGCTTCACTTAGGTAGTTTCTTGCAGTGGTCACTGAGATTTAATCATCTTCATCAGCTTTATATCAGAGCACTCTTTCTCCCTTTTGGTACTAAAGGATAAAAATTAAGAAGTGTTCCACACATTAAAAATGGGTGAGTTTAGTAGTGGAGTTATTAAATTTAAACTGTTGATGAAAGAATTCTAGTAAAGTAAGTGCAAGGTGACGGATGTGTCAGAGGACTGATCCTTCTCAAAGAACACTTTCTGCAGACTTATTCATCACACACACACTCTTGATGGAATCTTTATAAATTGTTTTTACTAGTTTTTACCTTTGACAGTTGCTTTCACAACTGCCTCCAAAGACCGGAAGAGCTAAGGTTATCTATGCCAGACCAGTGCCATAATGTTATGAATGAGAAACCTGAGGCCCAGAGAGGTAAGGCCTTGCAATGTGTTAGCTCTGTTCCCTTATCATCGAGCGGCATTAAAGACAAATCAAAGATACTTACATGACTACCATGTGAGGAAAAGCAAATAATGTTCAGTTATTTTTTAATTTATAATGAAAATAGCTTTATAGAGAAATATATTAAAATCTGTTCCCTCCATTACAGAATAGAAGAACGTGAATGTTATCCAACAACTTGTTATTTGTGGCATATTTGAGGAATTTCAGAAATAGCTTTCTAATCTTTTATCCTGAAGGTGCAGCATGGTTACTATCCCAACACCAGGCAGACATGCATTCTGGTCTGAGTGCATCAGATGGTTGATCAGTTTGATTAAATATCTCAGAATCATTTTTAGGCTTTAATATTTACTTCATTACTAGCTAGCGGTTTTTCTTTGGAAATTTTACATTAGATTGTGAGTTTGTAAAATTGTTTTCTATGACATATTCTATGAATTATATGAGAAACTCATCATTTTTAACTGCTTTATTTCCTAATCTGTTCTGGGTTAGTAATTTGTGATAGTATTCTGTTCACATGGAGTGATACAAACCACAGGTGAGTTTTGGGAGCCAATACTACCAGGGCAAATCGATCTATTACATACTGTAGTTAGTTTTCTGCCATAAGAAACTCCTGTGTCTAGAGCATCGGTTCTCAACCTGTGGGTCGCGACCCCTTTGGGGGTCGAACGACCCTTTCACAGGGGTCGCCTAAATACATCCTGCATAACAGATATTTACATTACGATTCATAACAGTAGCAAAATTACAGTTATGAAGTAGCAACGAAAATAATTTTATGGTTGGGGGTCACCACAACATGAGGAACTGTATTAAAGGGTCGCGGCATTAGGAAGGTTGAGAACCACTGGTCTAGAGGGAAGCCTCCAACCCACTCACTGGACTGGTTTTTGCTTTCATGAATGCCCTAATTTAGAAGAACACAATTATGTACATTTTTTTTCCATCTTAGTTTTTAATGCTATTTTAGTTGCAAGTAACACTCTGTAGTGTGCCTTATTAACCTCATTCTCTGGCTGTATTCATAGCACAATCAAAAGCCTAAACTTTGGAGTATCCCTTTTATTTCTCTTCAAGTGAGGTTCTGATTGAATGGGTAGGGCTTGTTCTTTGCCCACAAGACTCCTGAAGGCAAGCAAATTTTAAATTGGAAGTAAAGAATGATTTAAATTATAGGGTTGTTTGTTCTGGTGCAAATAACCTAACTTTTCCTTGTGGTTAAGTAGTAGTAATATGACTTCTCTCTGTATTAGATAGGATTGCATTTTCCTAAGTTAATATAGCTCCCCTCAACACAGAATGTTTTAGTAAACAACTCAGGATAGGAGGCAGTTATAATAGTTTATATCCATCTGAAAGACCACATCACATTTCTAATAAAATGACTATTTGGAGGAATGCATTATTTAGGTAGAAACTCAGATTACACAATAGTAGATTACATGCACTGATAAAGAGCAGAACTATTTTGAAGCTTTAGTACCTGGCAGTCTTAAAGAATTTGAGTTAATATGAAATTAATTTGACATTCCACTGAATAAGCTGCAACATTCATATAGAAAATGTGACGCAGCTGATAAATGTTTCTTACTTACCAAATGTAACTGAAAGAGAGATGGTCAGGAAAAGATTGTCCTCGCCTCAAGCAAGCTTCTGAAGCCTAGGCAAAGTATTTAGCTCCTTAAATGGGATTCTGATACCCTGAATTCTGAAAACAAAGTGTATGACTCATGAAATAAAGGACACTAAACCGAAAATTTGAAGTTATGAAAAACTTAGGTCAAAAAGAAGGTACAATAAAAAATAGCTGTTGGAAATGAAAAATGGCTGTAAGAATTTAGTTACAAGTATCTCACAAAAACATTTTCATCATTTACATAATGCAGCATTATAATACAATGCTAGCTGCTGTCCTGACCAAGCAAGTTTTCTTACCTAAAATAATTTAGATACACTTCTTTGCATGGAATTGTCATATATGTTTCCATTTTTGGTATAAAACATTAAAAAAATATTGGCACATTATGTAGTGATAAGACATTTTTTTCCCCATGTACTAATTCCAAGTGTTCTGCATTCCAATTTTTGTTTGAAAAAAGTAACTACTGATTCAGTTAATTCAGTCTCTGTTTATACCTCTTAAAAATGCAGCATGGAGTACAAAGAATTTGGAAGAAAAATGAAGATATTTTGTTTACTGAGTTTATAATACATAGAGAAGGGTTGACTGATAAAAGAAAGGAAAAATACTCAAGTCCGACTTCATGTAGATCACAGAAAGTTGTGAAAAGAGCTGTATAAAAATATGCACTTGTGCTTTAGAAGCTTTAGCATACAATTAATAGTATTTACTGTTTCCCCATATGTCTATTTTCTAATATATTTACACATCTTGCAATATTTTTACATCATTAAAGGAAAATGGCATGATTGCAAATACAGATAGGTTAAAAATATATGAACCTTGAAACTTCCCAAATCCCCTCCCCAAATATATACGTAGAGATGGTACATGGTACAACATACTTGATTGACTTATATCCAGAAAATTTAGATTTCATAAAAATTTTCAACAGCAAATGTATATAAATTTTTTCTTTTTTTAAAAAAGCTTGTCCAAGGGCATTCAGATTTAATGGCTTTTATATTATACTATAGTGCCTTGTGACTGCCTCTGATAACCAGAAATAAGGGGATCTCATAGAGTCCCCCAAAACAAAATGTCACTCCCTTCCCCATCATGGATGGCTTTCTGTTAAGATGAATGCCTTTTATAGGAGAGAGGGATATAGGCAGCTACTACCAGTCTAGAAGGCACTCAACAGGACAAGGCTGGGTTCTAACTTGGGTGTCATAACATCAATCAGAAGAAACAGCCAGTGAAGCTAACTGGTTTATCAATAATTTGGTCCTAGTTGTTCATTTTATATATAGTTTCTTTTCTTAGATAGTATGAATCCTCCAGACCAAAGCTCTTGAGGAAAATAGTCAAGCTAAACAGTGATGGTGATTTTTATGGTAAGATATGAGCTGAACACTATCTAAACTACTTGGTCTCCATCCAGGGAGATGGGCTCAGAGGCACCAAGTCTGTGCTGTATATGTCCTGCTAGTTACAGTCATTCATCTCCATGGTTGATAAGGGCACACAGGGTGACAGCATGGCAAAGGATTTTGCCATGTATTTGTTCTGTCACTGCTTGTATAAAGAACATATCTTTGTAAAAATAAAATCTGGGGACTTGATTCAAGGTCAAATATTAAACATTAGCTCCTTGACCTACACTTGTCATTTTCATTATAAAGGAAAGCCTCTCGTTTACACTACTGGGATTCACATGCCCTTGACAGAAAGAGGTCCCCTTCTCTGTCTTGGCTTCAGCTGTCAGATGGAAGCCTCAGACTTTTGCACTTCAGGTCATCTAATGTCTTCCAGTGTTTGTAGTTATTGGCCAAATGTTGCATCAGTGCTGGCAGATGTGCAAAGGCTGCAAGGACATAAAAGAATCAAAAGAAGCTTGTTAAGTTAGATCCCAGGGCTCTGTGGGACGAATTTGGGATCAGAATTGCAGGAGAAGTACCCTAGTTTAGACCTTAGGCTGCACGTGAACACACAGCATTAGTTTCTGAAATACAAATAGGTCCTTTTAATTAAAAACTGAAAAGCCATTACTAAAAGAATTGTGATTAAGGGTAGACTTTTAATACATTTTTTATTCTTTCTAAAGTTTTTTCCAATGCTAGAATAAAACTGCTTTAAGCTTTGGAAGAGGTCCTTTGAAGAGGTAAAGACTTATTTATCCATTTATCAAACATTCACTGAATCTTCTGTACGCAAGCACCCTACCATACCTGGCCACGGGCAGCTGACTTAAAAAAAAATACACAAAACATTTCATTTATATCTTTAGGCCCAGTCTATGTTGTTAAAGGTAATTATCATAAAGGATAATATTTTGTGTAGATGACAAAACAAGAACTATCTTACCGTCCCAAGCATCGAACATGTCTGTTATGAAGTAGTCAATGAAGGAAATTTGTGACTTGGGGATGCTACAGGTATTCCGGTCAAACACTGGCATCACCACAGGCAGTCCCTGTCTCTTCTCTTCATCAGTCTGTAAGACAGAACACTCACAGGGCTCTAAGGCACACACGGAACGGTTATAGTGCGACCTAGTGTCTCAGAACAACCCTGTGAAAATAGGTCATCATCCAGTCATATGTATGAAAAAATAGGCTCAGCAAAGTTCTGGGGTATATGTAAGTCAATTACCTGATGAGATGCAGTAACTCAATTCAGGTCTTCTGACTTACAAGTCTCTTATGCTATACCACCACCCCTCCTGAAGCATCGATCATCTCGGGGTTCATACCCCCATTTCTGAGATCTATTTTCACTATTGCAAGACCATTTTCAAAGTAATACTAATAACATGAATAATATGAATTGACATTTACACTGAGAGTACAGAAACAATGATGGGTAAAACTGCTGATACCTTAGCATAATTGTATCACCAGTCATTGTATTATTCACTGTCACCTGCTTGCAGTTTAAAAAGAAAGCCAGTTTTACTTAAAAACATCCTCACTGAAGCAGTAAGAATTAAACTTTCTAAATTTGGACCTTTGAATTACATCTTTTTAATACTCTGTGACAAAATACTCATAAGCCCTTGTGCTGCATTCCACACGTTGCTGGTTGTCTTGTGGGAAAGCACGCATGCAGTCCAGCTGAACCAGCCTTTTTTCCTCAGGGAAAACTATTTTTACTTGAAAGAGTGGTTGACAAGCTAGGTTTGTGTACCAGATTTGGATATTGGTCATGCAGTTCGCTCAAGGTATGTGTAAATCTGAGTATTTTGCACATTGGCGTATACGTTTATATGTGTAAGGTTGTAATTCACTGAGCTGAATATTAAGATCCGTATTTCCTGGTGATGTGTTGAGTCCCAGGCCAGCTAATCAGAGGCCTCATTTGTAACTTTTGATTTTTAGGTCACATTGGCTTGTGAACAGTAGTACATTACTTTTTGGGAAAAGGACACCTACTTTTCTTTAATTCAGGGGCTCTCTTCCCAGCCTTAAAGGCTGCAGCTAACTTACTGGGTGCTGGGCTGGCCATTCCCCTCGCTGGCCCTTTGAGATGTCATCAGCTCGTTATTAATAGCTGATGTACCTCAGAGGTACATTGCACCCATGGAGACCCTCCCCCTGCATTACTTGTAGCTACTAGTGCGTTTGTCTTCCTGCCGCACATATACACACATCAGTACTTAGAGCCTCTTCTCGGGAAGGAGGCCTGTATTTCAGATGGCATCTTGCAGTCTACTACTTTCTGGATTTTTCTCTCAATTCTTCTTTGTACTGCCAAAATGAACTAGATATTGCTGCTCCCCTTATGTAAAAATTGTGATTTCCCCCCTCCTTACTAATTTTGCTCATAATGCTTTGTTCTCCCAGAAAGTCCTTTCTTATTTCCACATTTCTAAATCCTTAACAACAAAACAGCTCTAACATCATTTCCAAAAAGCCCCTCTTTTATCTAGGAAAAAAAAACTTTCTGAACTCTCTTAGCACTTAAATAGACCTCCCTTAGAGATTTTTTTTTTTAGCTATTGTGTGGACCTACTTATTTCTACATTATGAGCTACCCATGACTTATGTCTGTTTTCCCCATAATGTACCATGGTGATAATAACCTAGTGAATGAATGAATGATTTTCCTAGTTTTTTTGAAAGTTCAGGATCTAACAATTTGAGGATGAAAAGATACTTCCAAAGGCTAAGTTTATTTCTCTTCCACTAGAGAGACTTTGGTTAGTGACCAGCCATATCAGTCTCTTGGGGGAGCCAGAGGTTCCGTCCAGGGAGGAGTCATGTACTAAGGGAGTGCTATGCCACCAGACCATTCCAGGAGAGGAAAAGCTTCCCCACAGCGGCCACGTACCTGTGCGAAGTACTCCTCAGAGATCCTCCCGGCCCATTCGATGCACAGGTCCAGGGGGCGGCACGGGTTGGCCACATCGGCACACTTAATCATCATGCGCTTGATCAGGATTTGGTTCTCAGGAAAGTTCTTCCCAATAGGGTTACATTCACAGTCGCTGCCCTCAACCTGGAAAACATTGCCAGATGAGGGTTGGTTCAAGATGATGATGAATCCACCAGGGCTAACTGACCAGACATTAGATGGCCTCACTAGGGCACACTGAGGCATGACAGTGACTCAGAGAAGGCAGTTTTTCCATCAGTGATTTTATATATAATACTGATATATTCTTGTTAACCCTCAAGCAACATAAAAACTTAGGAGTTTACAAGGTCAATGTTCCTGTCAACACCCACCTAATACCTCACTTCCATTCTCTTCCCAGAGGGGACTGCTATACGCAGTTTTGTTGTTTTGTTTTTAGTAATTTGGCTTGTAATCTTAAAGGGGAAGAGCTTTTCTCCCAGTTTTATCAGAAAATGTGTAAAAGCAAAACATTAAAGATGGGGGAATAACACATACTTGTGACCCTTCAATTATTTCTTCATTTATTTCTAGTTATACCTGCCAGCTCCCTCTCTCCTGTGACCTTCTCTCTCACTCCTACTCACCCACCTCTTCCTACTTTGTTTTTTTCTCTTAGTGGATGTGTTCACGTATGCTTTCCTGGCTGCTCTTCTGACTGGGTAGTACGGAGTGTGAACCATATAAGCTTTGGGGTTTCTAGGAGCAAAAGTTGGGCAGGGTAGGAACAGGTATGTTCAGCACGTTTAAAAAGACTGGTCATACATGTCAGTGGTTATGAACTAAGCAGCCAGGTCCGTGAGTAGGCTTACATGAATGCAACAACACACCTGTTCTATGCAAAGTCTGGAAGATTGATTGCTATTCTCTACCTTCAAAGACACCATTGAATTGATTGTGTGAAAACAGTTAATTAGCTCTCCAGAGCTCTGCCAAGCTGAAAGACAACATGACATTTAAGGGTTTGTTTGTATTGTTTTGAGACTGGGCCCATTTAGTAGGCCATCAATAGGCAGAATTATGTTCTGAAGGTTATTGTTTTGATTACTTACCATTGGGAAGATACCGCTTACAATAGTTACTTCAATAAGTAATAAATCTTACTTGGATAGATGACCTTCCCAACACTAAATTCTATGATTCTCTATAATTTTCTCTCCTAAATCCCCAGATCCTTCCCCCACCCCCATAAGTTCTCTGTGGAAGGAGAGGCCCTGGCAGTGTGCTGTGGAACCCCTAGGAGATGGGACACAGGTGAGGTGGACACCGTCCCTCCATCCAGGCTGGTTCTGTGATGGGGTCCTACACAGGTAGTCTCCTTACTGATCATCCAGTTACTTTTAAGACGTCCACACTCTATCCACATATGCAACCTCTCCCGCTCAACAGGAGTGAGCAAAAAGCTTTTCTAACTTTATGGGCTATGAACAGCTTCATGGTTTCAGAGGGCAGTTTATCTCATTTTAAACAAGAGATGTGAACTTTCTATCCATGTTCCCCAATCTCAAGTTTATAGGGACTTAAACGCAGGTCCAAGGTACATCAGTAAATTTTAGAGGAAAAACAACTTAGACTTTTGTTTGCAACTAGTCACTCCCAATCAGTACCTATAGTCTTTAGGTACTGATATGCTTTTAATGCAAACCAGCAGGAATACAGATCTTTAAAACACCCGACACTGAGGTCTAACAGCTCAAAGAACAGAATTAGAAAGGGCATGGATCTCTTAAATAGCACTGTTTATGCTGGTGTGCTGCTGGCAGGCTCCTTCCATCCTATTCTTTGGGTCTACCTCCTTTTGTCACCACTGGTTTTATCCAGGGCCTTTCCTTCAAGGAGCTCGGAATTGCTGTGGACACTGTCAATCTATTCTTGACCCCGAGGAAAACAAGTGGCCAGTACTTTCAGCTCTTTCTTACCAACTTCAAGCAAATAACCACCTTGCATCCAAGAGAGAGAAAATACTTTGAGGCCAGAGTAGGCTCTAATAGAAATATACTCTGATGTATCTTATTACATGAGAAATGCTTACCTCAGCTGCCATTGGCTTGTTGATGCTGTTCACAAATTTGTTCACATGTTCAAAGTGTTTTGTCATCTCTGTTGCTAAAACCATGTCAATAATAGCCTGGCGCAGTGTTCGATAATGGTTCCTAAAATAACCAGAAGACAGAGAGCCCTGTTCACATCATGTCCCGAATTAGAACTATTCTGCTACGGTTTCACCTCACTTCCCACAATCTAGGAGGGAGCTGGGCACAGAGTTAAGAAATGACTGCAAATCACAAAATAGTTCACCTGCTCATCTTCCCATGAAACCAGGACTTGTTGACACTTCCATTTTCCCCAATGATAGTTGACCCTCATATGATTTGGGAATATATATATACCTGTCACATGGTAGACACCTATTTTACAAGGTAATTCCTTTGTACCTTCTCTTGGCAACATCAAAACAGTGAGGTTGAGGTGGAAGGAAATGACAAGTTCCTTCCCTACAAGGCTGGTACAGCACCTGATGAGCTGCCCTACGGCATGCAGTGCAGACATCATGATTCTTAGCATAGAGCAGTGGTTCTCAACCTTCTGGCCCTTTAAATACAGTTCCTCATGTTGTGACCCAATCATAAAATTATTTTCGTTGCTACTTCATAACTGTAATGTTGCTACTGTTATGAATCGTAATGTAAATATCTGATATGCAGGATGGTCTTAGGCGACCCCTGTGAAAGGGTCGTTCGACCGCCAAAGGGGTCGTGATCCACAGGTTGAGAACTGCTGGCATAGTGGGCTTTGGGCCAGTCCAAAACGTCCACACTTCAGAAATGTCCCTGGGTTCAAACAGCCCATACATGTTTTACTGGTCTAATAATTGTGTACTGGCTGTACTGCTAATAATGACCTTTCTTGCACCGGTAGCCTAGCTGGTCATGACACATAGGGTTAGGTAGATGGGTTGGGGTTCAAATATTACAGGAGAGCAGGATCTATATTAGCTATTCGCATTGTGGACAGGACCAAGTTTCAAGGACCTTTTGGTGAGGATCACATATCACCGTGAATGTCTTGGACAGGACCAAATGCCCTGCAAGACTGAATTGTTATTTATTTCTGTGATGGCATTTTAAGAAGGTTTTCTCATTAATAAGTAATCCTCTAAATTACAATTAGAAGTTACAATGGATGGAGCAGCAATCCTGTCCCAAATTACTGTCCAGTTCCTTTCATCTCACAGCTGAATAAAATTGGCTATTGGAAAGAATTCTTTCTGTGAAAGTTTTAAAAACAACCCTTGAGACTGATGAGTGGGCTTGAGGCCTAAGTGAGCTCTGTGCTCTCTGTACACTGCCCTCTCCCAGGAGCCTGCTCCCCAGCCTGGCTGGTGTTCTGTGAGAAATAAACAGAGCCTGACTGCAGGGTTGTGGCAGGCAGGAGAAATTGCTCCTATCTGTTCACACTTGGCCAACTCTCCCCAGAAGAGAGGACAACAATTAGGGGGAAACCTGTCCAGTGCTTGGGCTCCAGCAGCCCTGCTGGGACCTGTAGATACTGTCTCCTCATGAGTTAGGATTTTAAGTGGCCAAAAATTGAGCTGGGGAAAGACAGGGAAGGATACATTTTCCTTGAGTTACACAAAAGACAGATGTCCTCCTGCAAGAGTAAAAATATCTATTATAGTTATTAGTACTGTAGTAAATATTCATAGAGTTGTTCTGTATAAAACATTTTCATGAACTCATTGAAGACCAAATGAGATTTAAAAAGATGAAAGAAGCCTGAAAAGTACAGTTAAGTTTATAAGGGCAAGGTTATTATTTTACTGTCCGACACAATGGTACAAAGTATTCTCACTTCCCCTTCTCTTTCCAGTGGTTCTCAACCTTCCTAATGCCGCGGCCCTTTAATACAGTTCCTCATGTTGTGACCCAACCATAAAATTATTTTCGTTACTACTTCATAACTGTAATTTTGCTACTGTTATGAATCGTAATGTAAATATCTGATATGCTATATGTGTTTTCCGATGGTCGCGACCCACAGGTTGAGAACCGCTGCAAGAGGAAGCTAAATACTTGCAGAAGTTAGGGAAGCTGAGTATCCTACTTACACTTCACAAGCCTGAGCATAGGAGCCCAAGTACAACCGACCTGTCAATGTTCTTGAAGATGTTGCATTTGCTGTCCTTGACTGTCAGCTGGAAGGCCAGGGCTGTGTGGTGACTCTCCAAGACGGCCGTGTCATTGTAGAGCACAGCAAGTTCACTGCCTGCGTTGCAGAGGAAAGAGTTGGTTCTTCCTGGGTGGTCCACGTCATGGACTGTGGCAGCAATTAGCGCTGCCACCTCATCCAGCTGGTCCAGACTTCCCTGGGGTGAGGGGAGGCAACGTTGAGCATTACCTACTGGATGTAGGAGACTTTTACTCATCCTTGTCTCTTGGGTGGGGCAGACTTGGGGAGTTGGGATTATAAAAATGTTCTCCCCAGTCCACTAAGCCTTCTCTGACTTCCTCGAAGCTGAGAGGCTGTCTAGCACACATTGCATCACCTTGCTGTGCTGTGAATTATCTGGAGGGATAAAATGGATACCTAATTCTCTCCCCCCCCCCGCCGCCCCGCCCCGCCCAGAATCCAGGAAGAAGCCAAACAGGCCTTTTCAATGCCTGCCATGTGGTATTGCCATGATTCTCTCCCAGGAATGGCAGAGCAAAAAGTGGCCTATAACCACAAATATTACTCATTTTATTTGCATGCTTCTGAAAAGAGAGTGTGGCAGTAAATGGCACAGATACAACACAACTTTACACACAAAGGTAAAAGGATTAGAACCAAGCAGTACAAGAGCATCAAGAGTGAGCAGAATTTTCCCAGGAAAATGAGGTGAAGGGGGCTCTTGCTATTAAGGACAAGATTCAGCTCTGGGCTAGCAGGTAGTAAAGGCAAAAAGGGTGGCCCTCTTTCTAAAGCTCTCATTATAAAAGAACACAAAGCAGAGATCAAGGGATACAAATGCTTTCTCAGTTCACAGCTTTAGGAAGGAGTTACCAAATGGGCTACTGTTATATAAGACACTGTCCTTTATGAATTCATTCATTTGATAATCACTTATTGGGTGCTGACTGGGTGCCCAGCTGCCATGCAGAGGGCTGGAGCTACAGTGATGAATTGTACTGGCATCGTCTCTGCACTAATGGAGTTAATTTATTGGGGAGACACAAATTAGTAAAACAAAAATAAAACAAAAAAAATACCCCACACCAATAAAAGTAACCTACTGTGAGATGTGCTAAGAAGGGAGTTAGATGCTTTGAGAGTGTAACCATGAGGCCTGGTCTAGTTTAGGGCAGCGCTGTCCATTCAGCTTTCTGTGGTGATGGGAATGTTTATGTCTGCACTGCCCAGTACAGTAACCCCTATTCACATGTAGCTACTGGACACTTGAAATGTGACAGTGTAACTGAAGAACTGAATTTTTCATTTTATTTAATTTTCAGTTAGATGTAAATAGCCACATGTAGCTAATGGCTACATGTCCAGCAGGTGGGCAGAGATGGCTTCTCTAAGGAAGTGACTTTTATGCTGAAGCCTGAAGGATAAGCAGGAATTACCTAACCAGTGGTCGGCAAACTGCGGCCCCTTGAGTGTGGCTCTTCCACAAAATACCACGTGCGGGCGTGCACGTACAGTGCGATTGAAACTTCGTGGCCACACTCAAGGGGCCAAAGAGCCGCATGTGGCTCGCGAGCCACAGTTTGCTGACCACTGACCTAGGCAGACGTGTCAAGGGAGAGCCTGCCAGGCAGAAACAACAGCCTACATGATACTCCTGAGGTAACACAGAGCATCATTGAAGGGTAGTGAATGAGAAGAAAGCGATCCCCAAGATGAGGCAGGAGGGGTGGGCATATTTGCTATTCCCAAGTTGCTCTCATAGGCTGTGGGAGGAAAAACTAATACTAACAGGTAAGGAATAATGGGTCTGAAGCTCAGACCTGAAAGCTTTTTTGAAGCTCTCCCCACCGGAAGGGAGCCATTTCCATTTCCAATCCTGATCTGGAGCTAGTGGGCAATCCTGGCTTGGCCCCAGTCCACACAAGCAGGTTTCCTGAGCAGGGACAGCAGTCCACGCTACTCTGTTCAGCTCTTCTCAGAGAGTGATTCTATAATGCTCAGAGCAAGCAAACATGGCCCCATTTTGCTGCTGGTCAGGAAAGGCCATGGTCACCTGTAGGTGCAGGCATGACCCAGAGCTGCCCCCACATGGGCTCCACTCTGACTGATTCTACCTGTGCAGTGGGACCCATGGGTCCTCAGCTAGTGCTCCTGGAGTAGGTTCAATCTTGCTTAGAATCTAGGGCTAATTTTAAAATGCTTCAATGAAATAGATTCATGGAACTGGAGTAGACAACACAAAAAGCATCAGATGAGACGTGCCTTTTCTTCCAGCTTATGCTGACCTAGACCTGGTGCTTTTACAAAGGTACCAATAGGAGGCCATGCCCTGCAGTATTGGTGGGCACTGTCTAATCATGCAATGTCTGATAAGAAATGGGGGAGACAGGGAAGGCAATCTGGGCCTGCTCACGAGCATGTGGGAGAAGCAAGGTCCTTCCTAGGGGAGGAGGACTGTCTGCGGGAGAAAACTTCCCCACCGAACTCTGGGAAGCACAGACATTTCTGCATATTTTACCCCTTTGACTAGCAGGAGATGATCTGGATCATACTCAGGCAGATTGGCCAGACTAGACTCCCTTCCAGATCGGCTTCTGAACAGCTCCTTATCTGCAGTTATTCACTCACACAGGGGAAGACCAAAAGGGTCATGGTTATCCTGACTCCCACTGCAGTGTTCCAGGGAACAGGTAAGTGGGGAGCAGACAGGGCCCATCACACACTGAAGGGCATATCTATGGAGGGGCTGAGGATGTGGAGCTATGTCACAGAGACATTAAGAATTTTAGCCTTAATGTATACAGAAATTAGGAGTAACAGATGACATGGGAATTTGGTAACATTTTTTCCTGACTCTTCATCAGTGGCAGCAGGTCTGGTGGAAGAGGCCTCAGGGATAAATCTCACTTGAAGTTCCTCACATGGACTAACCAGTGGGCTGCTGACTCAGCTTCTGCACTCAGGAGCCCCTTCGAGCCCAATTCTCCAAGGTTCCTAAATTCTGATTCTCTGGCATGGGTGACAGAGTGGGAAAATGTCTTTTGAACTGTAAGAGTATTACTAGTCTTAGACTTGTTTCTATTGCTATTTGAGAAATTCAACTAGAGTCTGAATGCATTAGCAGAACTCTCAATGTAAACAAAAATTCTTATTTTAGGGGAGGGAGATAATAAAGTGACTAAGCATTCCCTAATTTATCAAGCATTTAATCTGTATTTTTCTAGAGTGGTTCTGCTTAAGTGAGGTTCATCTTTAACTCAAGACTGCAGTAGCTATAGATCACTTGGTTTTGGAGTTATGCCTTAGCCCTGTCCTCAGTTGGCAGTGGGGACCTCAGCTGTACAATATCCATGCGGTGTAAAACTGAGAACGAGAACCTGGAGTGGGAATCTGGAGGTGTCTCAGCTCCTCAAAGGTGCTATGGAAACACAGGCCCATATCACCTCTGATCACACGTTTAGAGTTTCTAAAGTAGGAGACAAAATCTTCAAAAGCTTCATTCTTGAAACACATTCTTTACGTTCTTACTGATGAAAGTGAATACCAGCATTTGGCAAAATAGAAAAAAATACCCCTGTCTCCATTTTGGTGCCATTCCTGTTCCCTCTACCTGTCTCACTACCATGCTTTTCCTTTAGTACCAGGCCTTTAAGCTTATATATATCTATATATAATGTCAGGCATTTGCAGATTGATACGAATTTCAGTCTCTATACAGCACTTCTACCAGGGGTATCTACAGTCTAAGCTTCAGTTTTAGCAAAGGAATTACAAGTTTCATTGTGCCAATGGTGATAGGAAGGGGAGAAGATGGGGATTTCTTGCCAGCTATACATGGGGTGTACATATGGCTACCCTACACATCAGCACCTGTACATAACAGTATATGGAACTCTGTCAGAATTACACACAGTTATTAATATAAGATATACATAATCATTCCTACACAACACACACATATGTATGCAAATGTGCAGTGCTGAAAGAACTCATCACTATCTGGATTATAATTTACCAATGGCCAAATTCTGATCCTAAAACTTAACCACTAGACCTAGTAACCATTTGCTATAATAATTAAATTTTGTCCTCTAAGTAAGTACCACAAAGTAAACACTTGGAGAATGGGTTCATAGATCAGCTAGGCCTTTAGAGGACTCGATAGTGGCATAAATAGTTATTTTAGGCATTTGGGGTAGGGGAGGGCTAGGAGAAAACGCTATGTCTTTATAACACCAAATGACCAATTTTGTAGCAACAGAAAAAAAAATTGTCTAGGTAGGTAACTAGATCATGATATCAAAGTTCTACCTTCACTCTCTCCTTTCCCAGGAAGAAGGCGGTGGCGTGCAGGACATCCGCGGCATGGGTGGAGTTGTGGTAAGCATTGGAGGAGTGGTAGTTGGCTTCAATCACTTGGAGCCAGGCCCGAAGAGTTGTTTCAGAACAGCGTAAAAATTCACATACTCCAAACCGGGAAAAGACCTTTAAGCCCAAGTAAACCAATGGCCTGGAAAACAGGAAGACAAACCCTGATTCATTGTATTCACTGGTCCAGAAACTGCTTGCATTGATGATGCTGAGGAATGGAGGCATTTTTCTTTTGATGCTTATTACACATGCATCGGGGCATAAACACATCTCCTCCTCACTGGCCACTTCTTGCAACTAGGTGCCTCAACAGTAGTCAATCTGAATGACTTGCAGATTATCTCTAAGTCATAAACTCTTCAGTGGATCTGACAGCCAAGAAAGGCCCCTGGTAGTTCCTCCCCATCTCCACTTCCACATCAGCTCTGTACTTCCTTTGTGTCCCCTGAGGCAGTTACTGAGCCTAAGAACAAGAGGAATGGCTTGTGTGGTCTCAGCGAAGTTCTATCGAAGTTCTATCATATGTTACTTATTTACAGGTGCGAGGCATTCACATCCTACTAGACTAACACCCCTGGAGGAAATAGCCTCCTACTATAGAAGGGGACTTTGAGTCATCTGACCCTTGCCCTGCCTGTAGGACAAATAAAAAGAAAAGTCTCCAGTACCCTCAAACTCATTTTGTAAGGTGGGGCTTCAACAAGTCTGGGGCTGAGAATACTTGGAACTCTTACCTCATTAGCACAAAGGAATGACCTGCGTAGATGTGAAAAGGACTTAGCATTTCCTCATCCTGGGCCATCACCAGGCTGATCCCACACCTCACCCACTAATTCTCTCCATTAAGGAGCTCAGTCAGGGGCCATGGTCTCTGCTCTGCGATACCCCTCCAGCACAGCACGAAAGGAACAGCCTCTCTGCAAGGGCTCATGTCTCCTTCAAAGTTTCCAACGTGGAGTCTTGAGCTTGGCCATCAGTCTTCTCTGCCAGCAGCCAGAGAAGCTACATACCTTTTATGTGTAACAGCTTCCAACTCAAAAATGTTGAACTCCCAACTTTCCTCATTATCAAGTAATTGGGCGATACAAGGGGGGACATCATTGATGGTTATTGGCATTGCAAGATGACTGTGACTCTGGTGCACATCTGAGCAAACAGATGGGGGGGGGGGAAGAGGGTTAATTGTGGAATCCTGGGTGCCCTTGAGCATCTGTCATCTTCATCTGCTACTATAAAGAGAAAGTCTTGAACTCTAAAGGTGGGAGGATGTTCACTTCAGGGCTCTTCTCTTACATTACTAAATTCCAAGGCCCCCAAACAGAAAAACAATTCATTTTAACAGTCTGTTTAAACGTATAGAAATGTCTAATCCTTAATTCTGACAGTGTTCAGATAAGTAATTTTAATTATGAGACCTGGTATCAAATGTAGAACATAGAAATGCTTAAACTGCAATGAAACCAATAGGAAGTAACACCAAGATTCTCCCCCAACCAAATAATCACAACACTGGGACTGCACAGGCTAGAGACAGGTTATAAGTAACAAATGGTTCTATGGCAACTTACTCTTAGTGAACACATACTCGTTTCCTGACAACCTTCTCAGGCCATCCTGGAATAAAGCAAGGTGCTATTAGAAGCATGTTGTATATGCCGGCATTATTTTCTCATTTCTTTTATTAGCTAAAGAGATTTGAATAATGAGTAACCCAGTCAATCTGGAACTACCAAGTTGAAGTTCAAAACTAAATCAGAACAATAGCTACAAGGCACAGGATATTCTCCCTTCATGGCTCTTAGCCTCAGGAGGTGGAGAATTGAGAATAAAATGGAAATGACTGCATTCTGTCTCACACCTGGGCTGTGAGTTGGCTCTATTCTCATGCCATCTTTCTCTTCTGGCATTTTGAAGCCACATTTGTGAAATCACGGAAGTGAACTTGCTTTGGTTTGGATGATTTTGAAGGGACCCTCCTTACTCTCATAGGGACTGTGTTATTTGATTTACTTATTAGGGAGCCAAAGCCATGGGCCACATTTGGGAATTCCTTAATGTAAAGCTTGAGCTAATTTTTGACTATTATCTGAATTAATTTTTTCCAACTGCATTTTCTATTTAGCAACATGAGCATTGTTGCTAACTTTTAAGTTTCTAGATTGAGATCTTTGGAGGGACAGCATAGGGCAGTGATGGCGAACCTTTTGAGCTCGGCGTGTCAGCATTTTGAAAAACCCTAACTTAACTCTGGTGCCGTGTCACATATAGAAATTTTTTGATATTTGCAACCATAGTAAAACAAAGACATATTTTTGATATTTATTTTATATATTTAAATGCCATTTAACAAAGAAAAATCAACCAAAAAAATGAGTTTGCGTGTCACCTTTGACACGCGTGTCATAGGTTCGCCATCACTGGATAGGGAGTGGGCAGGATTCCAATGTTCAGCGTTTACTAGGCTCCTGGACTTGAACTAGTTCCAGATGTTCTTGCATCTCAGTTTCCTTCCCTTCATCTTCTACCCGAGTACCTAATTTTTTAGCTCCTTTATATTTGTTTGTATAATTTATAATTGTTTGTCATCCCTAGAAAGTGTGTGCTAAGGTTTAAAATGTCAATGAAGGGCTCCCCTGAAGTCACACCTTGGATCTTTAGGCCAAGAGTTTAATTTTTTACAAATGAATAAAAGAGAAGTTACAATGGCCCCTCCTCTAAGACAGATATCACAGGGGACTCCTCTGTTTCTTCTTTGCCCTTCTTTCTCCTCTTCCCTAATGCTTCATAAAAAGAGGTGGAATCTTGAACTGGTTCCTCACAGCATTACCTGGAGAGGAACCCTAAGATGGTATGGCAACAGTGGGAATCCTTTGGACTTGAACTGTAGGGGCCACCCTCCTGAAAGACCCTGGCTGCCCTCTCTAACTGAAGTCTGCTCTGCACTGGGATGGGGCAACAAAGGCCAGCCCTGGGGCAGGAAAGTAGTAATTAGGAGATTGCTCAGATTGCAGGCTCATCAGAGATTTTTAGTTGGAACAAGAAGAATGGGTCAGAAAGCTAGTCAATGCTCAGCCTTTAAAATATAATTCATAGATGACCCTTGGACTTTGTTTTTCTTCCAAAGGATTCTTCCAGCTCCCACCTCTGATAAGGAGCACAGATGAATAATTTGAATTTTCTTCACTTGCTGATAGATGATGATTATGGCCAAATAGATCACAGCAAAACAGGATGAGTCTTTTGAAATCAGCTACTATGGTGGTGGTGTGCTGGCAGGGGAGGCTCCTCCCCTCCCCACCAAGCCAGAACAGCTTCCTCTGCTCTATCCGATTATAGAGGGAACTTCTATAGAAGCTTTTATTGAAAGAAATGGTTCTACAGCTAAGATTTTGGAAACTAGTACTGTAGTCTAAGTACAAACCCTTTCATTTACAAAGATAAAGAGCCTGAGATCCAAGGAGACTGGCCATAACCTCAACTGAATACTGTGCTAGGTCAAGGGAAGAAAGACAAGGGCCATGCATATCAACCAACTGCCTAGGATTGCCTTTGTATAACAGGAATGCTGAAGGACTGTCTCCCATGCTATGGTCAGTCAGCTTTGCAAAGCTCCTATGGAAAGATAAATGCAAGATTCCTTAACTAATGCCAACCACAGAAATTTTGATGCAGATGCTCCTGGTTTGTCCATACAACAGGTTTAAGTACTCTGCAAGTATAGGTAACAATACATGCTGCATGTAGTCTGAGCACATTAATCTCTGGTTTATCCTCATCACTCACAGTCATCAGGCCTCCAACGAGATCACTGGTGTGAGGATCTTCGTCTTTGGTGCCCAGCTGAGGGGAGTACAGTTCTGTGGTCCGTAAAATTTCTAAAACTCTGTCCAAGGCTTCTGCTACTGTAACAGGGCTGTTTTCTTGGGCTGCATTAATTATATTTATAACCTAAGGAAGTAAGGAAAGAAAAAATTTGAGGACTTTAGGATTCTACTTCCCATATACCTGGAATCCAAAAGAAATCAGATGACACATTGTTTTGAGTGACTGGTGCCTCCACACCACCACTCCCTTCTTATTGAGGAATGCTGCTCACCCCACCCCTTTTGGCATCTCTCCCACCTCACTGACTACATTTCTGCAGGCTCCTTTGCTGGTCGTTCTCCTCCAGCTCCTTTACAGGGTGGAGTTCCTTAGGGGTTGATGTTGGGCCTTTCTCTCACTCTACAGGCCTCCAGAGATGAGCTCTCATTTCCATGACTTTGGGACACATCATCCGTATGCCAAGGGCTCTCAAATTTACATCCCAGCTCTGAACTCTTTTTGACCTTTAGACTTGTGTATTCAATTGCCTACCTGACATATCCATGGGAGTATCTTACATGTCCAAAACCAAACTCATTCTCCTCTCCCAAAAGCAAGCAAGTAACAAACAAAAAAGAAGAAGAAAGACACGGAGCTTTGCTCCATTCTCTGGCTTCCACACTGCAGTAAAAAACCACTCCTGTCCATCCTGTGCTCAAAGTAAAAGTCTGAGAGGCTCTGGTTTCCATATCATGCCCCTTAACCTCCCCACCCTGACAATATAACTAATCACCAAGTCAAACTGATTCTACCCCTAAATAGTCCCTAATCTGTTATAAACCTAGCACAGCTAATACCATCTCTTGCCTGAAATTCTGGAAAAGCCCCCTAACTGGCTGCTTTTCTTCCACGCTTGCCATCTCCAATCCATTCTCTGCGTATCTGATCATGTCACTCCCTGCTTTAAACTCTTCAGTGGTTCCCACTGCACCAAAACGAAAATATAAACTCCTTATGGCCCAACTGGCCAGAATGAACTGAGCTCTGCCAAGCTCCACGTCACCATGTCCTCCCTCTGCTCTCCAGCTCCAGCCACTTGACTTTCCTTCAGGTCCTCAACTGCTCTGGTCCCCCTTCTCACCCCAGGCTTCACCCTTTGCTGTGTCTGCTGCCTCGAATCCTATTCTCTTCTCTCGTCTTCTATGTCTTTGCATGCCTCAGGTCTCACGTCAAACATTACTTCCTCTACAGACAGACCCTTCCTGATCACCCCTCTCACCACCCAAAATAGGGCCCTAATCTAATTTCCTCTTAAACTGTTTTCCTTTACAGCAATTTTTGTAGTTTATAACTATATTTATTTGTGTTTAATATCTATTTTCTCTACTAGACTGTAAACTCTATGATATCGTGGCATGTCATTCATTTTATCTGCAAAACAGCCCAGTGCTGGGTGACCCTGACTGTAGAGGCAGCAGCTGCCACTCACCTTTGTGATGGGGGCCTCGATGGTCATGGAATGGATCCTTGCCATGGATGGATAGCGACGGTTCTGCAGGCTTGGCGCTGGGGAGAAGTCAAGAAAGTTGTGTCTGGTGTTGGTGCTCAGCTTGGCTGAGTGCAGCGAAGAAGCCCATCCTGAACTAGGGGCCTGGCTCTCAAAGGACTACTGTCCCCCAAAAAGCAATGAATTCATGCATCTCTTAATCCTGAAAGGGTAAGAGCTTGGCCACTACTTGGAAAGGATGGTCTGGCCTGGAACTTTGGTGGCAGGAAGGCCTATGAGTCCCAGCCCACAAGGGGAATTTTAGAGAAGGTTGATGGAATCTGGACCCCACCCCAAGAGCCGAATGATCCCACAGGACTCACTTCCCCGTAAGTCACCAAAGCCCATCTTGGGCAGTTCCATCACTTTCAGTCCTTAGCCACTGGCCATGTAACTGGATAACTGCAGTGTGGGAGGGGAGGCATGGCCCAGGTTTGGTGTGTAAATGGAAAGGCAAGTGATGGGGGGAGAGAACGAGCGCCTTCAGTATGAATTAGGCACGCCACATCTCTGAGCCTTTAGGTTCTTAATACCCAGAACCCCTGGTGGTTCTAGCTCTAATCTGTAGAAACTTACATTTTAAAATATTTTACTTTTTTGAATAGGTAATTCTTACATGTGGTTCAAAATTCAAAAGGTAGAAGCTTTACTTTAAAACCACTATTCTCATTTTCCTACCACTCCTCTGAGAGACAGAATCTGTATGTGATAGCTGGGCTCACCTAAACTAGCCAATACCAACAGAGCAGCCTGCTGCTCAGCCCCCCTGTGGTCCTCTCTGCAGCCAGAGCAGCCACACTGCACACTCTGCAACCTCCACTCCCACGCTCTGTAGAGAAGACAATCGCAACTCAAACTCTACTAAAAACTGAGTTCATCTAGTTGAAATTCCTTCATTCATTATCCTTTCCATCTACAATGTTGTATATCTACACCTCAATCCGTCTGAAAATACTTCAGTCCACCTTCCTTACATTCTTGGCCCCAACCCCTTGCATGCCCTGTGATGTATCCGTCTTTCTCTATGAGTTATCCATCTCATCTTTAGTTCTAGTCCAGACACTTCCCTCAGACTCAGCTTTCCCATTGTGACCTGAAGAACTGAAAGTCCCTCACTTGCCTTTTCATTTACCCCCTGAAGTTACCACCCCACTTCTCTCCCTTCTATCTGTCACTCACCGTCCCCTCCTCATACCTCTAGAGCAGGGGTCCTCAAACTACGGCCCGCGGGCCACATGCAAATACAAATATTGTATTTGTTCCCGTGTTGTTGTTGTTGTTGTTGTTTTTTAAAATATATTTATTGATTTTTTACAGAGAGGAAGGGAGAGGGAGGGAGAGTTAGAAACGTCGATGAGAGAGAAGCATCGATCAGCTGCCTCCTGCACACCCCTTACTGGGGATGAGCCTGCAACCAAGGTACATGCCCTTGACCGGAATCAAACCTGGGACCCTTCAGTCCCCAGGCCGACGCTCTATCCAGTGAGCCAAACCAGCTAGGGCCCGTGTTGTTTTTTTTACTTCAAAATAAGATGTGCAGTGTGCATAGGAATTTGTTCAGTTTTTTTTTTAAATTATAGTCCGGCCCTCCAACAGTCTGAGGGACAGTGAACTGGCCCCCTGTTTAAAAAGTTTGAGGACCCCTGCTCTAGAACGTGTCCTCATTTGCTAAATAAACACGAACTGAATGAGAGTTCTCAGCTCGTGAACTCTCTGATCTCTGCAGCACTCACACTGCTAGCATCTCCTTTCTTCCGCTTTCCTCTGCTCTTGGTTCACGTGACACTGTGTCCATACGGTTCACTCCCAGCTCTCTTGTTCTCTGTGGCCCTATTTCTCTTGTTTCCCTCTCACTGAGGGTGTACTTTCAAGCCTTGAACTCAGTTCTTCTCTTTTGTTGTTGTGCGCACATACACACACCTTAGAAATGTTCCTCTGCTCATGGCTCTTCATCCGTCCCCTCTAGGACTCCCCAATCCATATCTCTAGCCCTGAGTAGAAGTTTTGCATTTTAGCTTCTTTGGCATTTCCACTAAAATAAAACTTATCTTCTCCTCAACCCCCACCTAGCCATACATGGAGACTTTGTTTCTGTATATATTACTTCTATCTTCTCAGGCACATAGGAATTACCTTTCAGAACCATCTTTGACTTTCCCATCCGCCTGCAAATCCAATGAATTAATTAGGCCTGACTGAACTAAAAAAGTATTTTGCTAAATTCTGTCTCAGTTTATCTGGGACAGTTTATTAAGGGACAGTAAGGGTGTATAACAGGTACACTGAAAACTGGGTTTGCAGTAGAGTTGGGAAGCCAAGATTCTGGTCCCCTCTCTGCCACTAGCACCCACGTGTGACCCAGCCACAGAAACTGAGCTGCTCTGGTGGTTAAGGTCCAGCACACCTTAGGCCACCAAGGATCAAGCACCGAGTCATTTCAAAGAGAAGACAAAGACTGTAAAAAGAAAAAAATGATTAAAAGGCCTAAAAAGTCTATTGCCTATGGGGAAGAAGCCAGTTTTGTTGACTTTCTATTCCTTGGGGTTTGTTTATATGCTGAGGAATTCTTTTATATATTCTTCTGTCACTTTCTATGCTTTAAAAAGGTCAAGAAAATCTGAAAAGCTTCTTACCATCACTGCCTCGAGATGATATCGATTTCACATCAACGGACTCCCTCCTCCTGCTCTTGTATCTGAATGAATGAGACTCTAAGGATTTCAGATGAGTAAGGGGAGTGGTTAGTTACCAGCTTATTCACAGGTGAAGTCTGGACACATTTCCCTGTCATTCTCCAAAGAAAATCAAGGTCACTTCTTAAGCACTATAAAATACTTTTAAGAAATAGGAAACCATTTTCTCTTCAAATTTTCACCACACACAGAATTTTCCACCATATTAGTTGTAGAACGATGCCTGTCCTTGTGGCATCACATTACATCATGGAAATGGGCTCATGATCAATGGTTCTTTTGTCCCACTAATAACTCTTTTTTAAAATAAACATTAAAACTTAGGGGAAGTTTTGGGGAGTTCATTCCGATCTGAAGTACAAATACACTTAACTGGATAGGGAAGGTTCTTATTATATTTGAGGAAATAAATACTAGTGAAATCAACAGAGTTGATTTTTCTTGGGAAACTAATTTAGACCAATTGTAAGCCTTTTTTTCTGAAAAGTTGAGCCTCTGGATCAGTGGTTCTCAACCTTCTGGCCCTTTAAATACAGTTCCTCATGTTGTGACCCAACCATAAAATCATTTTCGTTGCTACTTCATAACTGTAATGTTGCTACTGTTATGAATCGTAATGTAAATATCTGATATGCAGGATGGTCTTAGGCGACCCCTGTGAAAGGGTTGTTCGACCGCCAAAGGGGTCGCGACCCACAGGTTGAGAACCGCTGCTCTAGATTGTCTTCTATGTTCTTCTAAGGATGTAATTTCATCAAGTGATGCAAACTGCCAATCCCAGAAGGAAGAGAAGAAAAAGAAGTTTTATAGTTCAACAATTTGCAAAAACTAAACTCTCACTTTTGTCCCCATTTTCTGGGGCGGGGTGGGGGGGGCAGGGAAAGCACTTAAAATTCTACTAAGTCTTTACAGACTTTGAATTTAACACTCAAAATGTGTTGTTCCATTACTGAAAGATCTAAGGCAGCAGTGCATGGCAGCAGTGAGGACCGGGGATAAAAACGCCAGGGCTGCAGAGGTGGCTGCAGAAACATGCATGGTCAGGGTGTGTGCTTCCGGTGGGGACCACGCATGAGCAAGGAGAGAAACTCAACTCTCACAGACCTCCACTGCGCTGAGACAGGAGGCAGACATGCTTTTTTTTTTTAAAGAACTGTCTAGTGGGACAAAGAGACAAAGAGAGAGAGAGAGAGAGAGAGAGAGAGAGAGAGAGAGAGAGAGAGGTGTAAGAGAGTATAGTAGTTCAGAGGACCAGTTCCAGAGTCAAATTGGCAAAATTCAAGTCCCCACTATCCAACCAGTAGCTGTGTAACCCTGGGGGTGTTCCTCCCGTGTCCCGATCTGTGTAGTGAGGACAGTTACGACATCTCGTTCATAAGCTGCTGTAAATAAGCTAATCCACGACGGCACTTGGGGCAGTGCCCGCGAAGTGTTAGTTCATGCTGGCTATTATTCACCTGTCCACTTGCATATACCCCTTCTTAGGCACACACGGGCCATGTTATAACGCCGTTCTCATACTGGCTGTTTTCACGTCATAATATGCCTTAGACACTTTTCTAGATCACCTTTTTAACCATTTACTTTAGTGTCCTAAAAAATCTGATTCAACTAAAAATGGTTAAATCAGTAACTAAACCTGAATTATATTTTTACAGCATGTAGTGAAAAGCAGAATATTATAAAATTAATCTGCACACCATAGCCTTAAATGATCTAACATAAAACATTTACTATCCCTTTGCCTATTTTTGTCTTCCAGACTCTGCCTTAATTTTTCTAGCCTTGAATATGAGTTTCGGAATTTCTTTATAAAGACAACTATAGGTGGTGGCATTTTAAATAATACTATTAAAATCATATGGCGTCTTTCGAACCCTCAGAAACTAACTGATCACTTGCAAGACATTTGTTTTTAGCCTGATCAGGGACTTACTAATCATATACATTCTTAACATTTGTTTAGCTAGTAATAATTAAATTGAACTTAGTGAAGATTTAAGATTAAATTCAAGATTAAAGAGCATAAGAATTCCTCAAAATGTAGTTTCTAAATAAAAGTAAAGTAGGAGGTTAGTTTCACAGCTATTGGCCCAGGTTGCCTTGTTGAATCCTAAATCATTTATCAGAAATTATTCAAAGATAGATAATGCTTATTCTTCCTAATTTTATCTCAGCTAAAATTAAGAGAAGTTATAGCAATAGAAATTTGAAGTTTGAGAAATTATCCTTTAGTATTGGCCATTTAAACACAAGAATTTGGTATTCATTCTCTCAACAGATACTTGTGGAATGAATTTCAAAAACAGAAAAAAGAAGAATAAAGAACTTTTAGATAGCTGTACTCAATGGCAACAGAGATACAGTATCACCAATTTTAAAAATAGCTACCATGTACTGAGCACCTACTATGCATCAGAGTTGGTGCTTTAATATTTACTTTAATATTTATTACTAAATATTTAATATTTATAGACACATCTTATATGGTCTTGCAACAATTCTAAAAGCTGCACAGTCTAATCCACATTTTACTGACAAGGAAATTTAAACTTGGAAAGATTGTTTAGGTAGCTCAAGGTCAAAGAGCTAATAAATGGGAGAGCCCATGCTTTTTAAGATGTAATGGTTTAATGTTTTGTGAGTATTTATTGAGTGTCTACTATGTGCAAGGCAATCCCGGGCACTGCAAAGGATATGAGAATGCTTGTAACAGATTTTGGCACCCAGAAGCCCTTAAGTGAGTTAAAATAATACTCTTGCTGTAAGTGTTAGAAGGAATAAACTAAAACATCTGAGAGAGAAGAGCTGAGAAAGAGAAGGGAAAGGTAGGGGAGGAGAGAAGGATGCTAAGTAGTTAAACACCAGGCACTGATATATGTAATGTACGTTTTTCCCCTCTAATCCTCATAACAACCAGATGAACACTGTTAATTCACTTTAAAAATAAAGAAACCAAAGTTCAGGAAGAGCACATGAAGTCTTCCTGAGTAGGCTAAAGTATGGTCCACCCTGGAACCAAAGAGAGGGACCCAACAACAGCCCAGGGCCTGACGTGATGGGTTAGTGGCTGGGAAGCCGCTAACCCAGTGGTTCTCAACCTTCCTAATGCCACGACCCTTTAACACAGTTCCTCATGTTGTGGTGACCCCCAACCATAAAATTATTTTCGTTGCTACTTCATAACTGTAATTTTGCTACTGTTATGAATCGTAATGTAAATATCTGATATGCAGGATGTATTTTCATTGTTACAAATTGAACATAATTAAAGCATAGTGATTAATCATAAAAACAATAAGTAATTATATATGTGTTTTCCGATGGTCTTAGGCGACCCCTGTGAAAGGGTCGTTCGACCCCCAAAGGGGTTGCAACCCACAGGTTGAGAACCGCTGCGCTAACGGGAGAGAATGTGTGCATGAACAAGAATTTTAAATCTTTGGTAGTAGACGTACTTTTCCCTCTAGTCAGAGAATTCCAGACCTTTCGAATGTAAAAGTCATCATTCTATAGCTGAGGAAACCAAGGTCAAGTAGGCAGAGTCTTGCCCAAGTTATGAGGCGAGGGAATGGGAAGCTGAGCTGGTGGACAGGGCTCCTGACGCCCAGGCCAGGGCCCATCCATGTTCTAACTGTACAGCCACTGACGCTGCTAAGCACGGGAGGACTGCGATGGTGTGACAACAGCGCACCCCCTGGACTTTCGGGCCACTCTCCCATTCTAGGTCTATCCGTATGATGGTCTCTCGCCAGCAAAAGAAAACCAGGAAGGGGTGGCAGTGGGTAGAAAAGGTTGCCATGAATGGATATTCAAAAAACTCCCAGGGATTCTGCTTCTGTTCTGGCTTTGCAACCCTCTGATAGCTTGAGCAATTCAGAGTACGTTTCAGACTTGACCCCACACATGCTGCCTGGGTGTAAAAGAGTGAAACCGAAGAATTCTCACCTGTCTGAGAATTGTCTCCTGAATCTCGATGAATCTTGTGAATCTAAAGTTGTTCGAAAGTTTGGTAAATAAAACAAGAGAAAGAGATTTAAAATACAGCATGAGCTATATTTCCAGCCAAATAATTTCATTAAAAAGCTCTGAAGACTTCAAGAGAGCAAGAAGTTGCACAGATAACATGAACAGATGCAAGCTGTGCACCAAGTAGTACTATTACAAATGCTGTTACGTCCAGACACTCATGGGATGCTGAGCCCAGAGCAGGAGAGGCTCGGAGCACACACTTCCTAAGCAGGACCTCTCACCCGCCAGAAAGCTCTTCTCATCCTGACAGTCTGCAGAAATGCAGAAAGAAAAAAAGCCAGAGCAAAAATATAAGACTTTCATAAGGCTAATATATAACCTGCTTGTAATTCATACTTATTATAAACTTTTCTGTAATATAAAAATAATACCAATGTAAGCCTAGGACTTCTAAAAGCCTCCCTAGAAAGCTCTTCAAGTGCTTCGTTACAGGCAGGATCAATTTACAAATGTTTCATCACAAGGAGAGCTGAACTTTAGATGCAGTTTAGCACCTGGTTCTTCCTCATTATCAAATTTTTCTGTGCTGGTGGTTTTGTGCTAATGCTCAATCAGTGTCATATGATGGATGCAGTAATCAGCACAGGAAAGAATACATTTGCTTTCTTTGGGGTTCTGCATTTCGTGTGTTTATAACTGAGACTCTGTTACTGGGGCATATTGAGCTCTATCACTTATAATCAAGCTGCTTTCCTGCTGAATCCATCTATTGCTAGTAGCTCAGACCAGCTAACATCTGTAGCCACTAATGAACAGGGTACGTTAACTCGGAAAACAAGACGGGTGCGTGTGTAGGGCTGTCTAGGAAGGACGATTAGGGTGGTTTAACAACACCAACCGTCAGAGCCAGAGTCCCGTGTGTCACATACAGGTAAAATGTCCCAGCTGGATGGAACCACGGAAAAATAATTATGGGAAACTGAAGTGTTAAGATAGAGGGTTTCTATGAATTATTCTGCATAGCCCATTCCACATATCACCGAAACAATTGCATGGCCAGCCTGTGTGAGATCTTAATGTGACTAAGGGCTGTGACTCATTTATCCCCTAATTACGGGACCATTTTATTTCTTCTGTGAATAGCCGCTCTGTTTTTCCTTTACAGATAGAAACCATTTGCTACAAAGCTATTGAGTGCAGTGTGACTTTTTGATCTATACCAAATGAATACAACTTTTGCCTTGCAAATTGTTTATCAGCTGTAGTTCAGAAGCAAGTGATCTTTAAACACTTAGCTTTTCTCTCTGAATCACTGTACATCTCTCCTTTAGAAACAAAGTCCCATGGCTCCCCAGATTACACACAAAAAAACCTTCTCCTGGACTTCATTGGCCCCCATAGGCCAACTGACTGCACTGTGGGGCTCCGGGGAGTCACCGTGGGCTTTATGTTCTGCCCAGATGGAAACAGAGGAAGCCCAAGGCCCAGTATGCACACTCCAACCCTGCCTTTGGGATGAAAATGAACCCTGTCCCCCACACCCGAGGGGTGGGGATGAGAATAGAGGAAAAAGCGGGGGGAAGAGGAGAGATACCAGGTCCATCTGTGGAGGAGGCTCTGGTTTTCCTGCGCTTAGGATTCTGCATTTGGCACTTTCGAAGCTGAACACAGCACTCACGCCAACCCCATCACCCCCCGAATTGGCTCATCTGCCACTGACAGGCTCTCTCCTGCAGACAGCAGAGACTAGAAACACTCCTCGACAGCCCAGCTGCCCAACCTTCACTTGCTTCCCTAGAGCGGTCTGGCGGCTGTCTCAGCATCGGCAGCCCAGGACCCCATGGCATGACTCACTCTGATCCCTTAGCAAGAGCAGCCCGGGGACCTTCCCGGTCACACCTAGCAGGGCGGGGTTTTTACTGAAGCTTCCTGAGGAAGGTTATTTATACATCTCCTATATACACCACCTTTAAGCTAAAGATTCATTTAGACGAAAAAATTCTTTTAGAATTAAAGTTCTTTTTCTTGGAGGTCTAAACCCATGAGTCATTTACCACTTGGCATGAATGATTCTGATATAGTAGGCAGTTAGACAGACAGGAGCAGAGAAGGAACGATAGGCCAGGTGAGAAGGTCACCCAGGTGGAAAGCCTAGCAATGGGCAAGGCTGGGAATGCAAGCATTGTAGGGTGGGACCTTTCCTCCCCTAGCATATCTTTGATCATGTGGTTTAGACCCCCTGACCTTTCATGTCACTGGTCATGCAGTTCGGACCCTCCCCTGAACTTCCCTCCCCTGGCCTGTGGCCAGTCCCGTGGGAGGCCCTTAGAGGAGGAACAAGGGCCAGAGAAGAGCCTCCCAGGACTTCCTGGCGGGACCACTCCCTTAAGGATGAAGCCCTCGGGAAAATGAGGTTCTGACCCACATCAAATGATCTTAGAAACAAGGCCACAGAGAGTGGTTAGGTTAAACTAGGGATAACATCTAGGCCTGTTTCAGAAAAGCAACAAACCAGATGAAGCTGGTCCATCTGGCTGTCATCAGGACCAGCTGCATTGACTAATGACGCCTGCCCTGGTGCCCACCAACTGGTGGAGACCACGCCCTGAAAGGACATCCGGAAAGCTGATGAATATTCTTTGGGCATCCTCCCCTGAGATCTCCCCTAAAATCCCACATTTAGGAAACAGATGAACCCCTTACAATGAAGGACCCAGCATTCTCGCTGGCTGCTCAAAGCATATCTGCACCTTTCTTTCCCCCGTTCTCCCTTAAGGTGAGCACCTTTGCTTTCTCTCTCCCAAGTTCCAAGGCCCCTTCTTTTGCCTCTGCAACTTGCTCCCTGAGTCCCTGCAGCCCAGCTGGCCCACTTTTTCTAGGGCTCACTTCTACCTCTGTGACTTTCTAAATAAACTTCTGCTTGTATTTGAGTCTTGGCTCTGAATCCTTCCTTAGCCAAAACTCAAGGACCAAGGTCTAACATCTGGTGCTGTTTGCCATGAACAATTCCACTGAAATTATTTCCCTGTAATTCTCAGTCAAGCTCACTGAGGAAACAGGGGAGGAGCGGTTTTGTAGTTGACATTCCTGATGGGCAGCCTGGGGCACCGCGTGGGCCTTAGGACTGTGGGCAGGAAGACAGAGGCCATCTCTGAGAGGACTGCCGTGTGTAGCGGCTTTACATCCCCAACCTCCCGTTACAGCACTCACGGGAGGGGAGGATCACCCCTCCTCAGACAGAGAGAGAAACTCAGGTTTTGAGAGAGGAAGGGACTTCCCTGAGCCGCACAGCGAGTATGCACAGAGCCCAATTCAAACCCAGCTTCCTCCAGCTCTAAAACCGGTTCCTCTCTCTACAGTGAGACCAAAGGTAAGTCCCAGGCCACACTTGTGAAACTGGGGTGTGAGGACAATATCCCCTGGGTCAGTGCAGGGCATCTGTTTGAAATATTTTTTTGTTTTCAAATTTTGGGGAAGGTCTGAATCTCTGCTATCAATAGGTTTTGTTACCTGAATTCTAAAGCATAGCAAAACAATCAGAATTCAATGTCCCCATGTCAGCCAGTCTCTGGAGTGCAGTGTTTTTGTTATTTTTCCTGAAGGGTAGAAAATCCCACGTATGGTAACAGCTGGGGATCTTTAATACTGGGAACTTTGGTAATAGAGGGAAGTTCTGCGATTTGAACGCTATCGCCCTTGGCCTATGCCGCCCTCAAAGCAAGTCCTTAGAAGCTTCCAGCTTGTTTTTGGAAAGGAAATTCATAGCTTTATACCTTTAACTACTTACAATACCGCAGGTTCCTACAAGTGTTGCTATCCTTGTGCTGCATGCTTTGTTTATAAACACCTGACTATGCTTGGCTCTAAAAAGCACTTCAAATTCTGTGTGCGAGCGCCTGCGTGCGACCTCAGGGCCATGTGACTGCTTTCTTCTTAGAGAAAAATCATTTAAACTTTATATTTTCTCTACACACATACCAGAATGTCTAAAACTGAAAGGAAAGTTTGTCAAGGACGTGAAACAACTGGAGGGAGAATGAAGTGCTACAACCATTATGAAAAAAGGTCTGGCAGTTTCTTATAAAGTTAAACATAGACCTACCCTAGGACCCAACTCCTCAGTACTCAGGTCCACTCCTGAGAATTTACCCAAGATAAACAAAAGCATGTGATCACAAAACACTTTTCTACTAATGTCCAAAGGGGCCCCAAACTGGAAAGAGCCCAGAAGTCCATCAACAAGAGAGAGAAACTGGTAGATTGATGCAATGGAATCCCATTCAGCAACAAAAGGGGAAAATTACTGATACATGCAACGGGGATGACTCAAAACATGACAACGATGAACAGAAGAAATAAAATTAAAACAGACTCATAGACACACAGAGAGAGCAGGTGGCTGCCAGAGGGGAGGGTGTTTGGGGGTGGGGATGAAAGACATGGGGATGAAGGGAGTAAGAAGTAAGGTTGGTAGTTACACAACAGTCATGGGAACGTATGTAAAGCATAGGGAATATAGTCAATAATGTTGTGATAATTATGTATGGTGCCAGTTGGGATACTGGAAATATTGAGCGAACACTATGTAAAGTATAAGACTGTCAAACCACAAAGTGTACACCTGAAACCAATACAAAATAAAAAAAACCCAAAACACTACGATGAGTGAACAAAGCCAAACACGAGAGAGTAGACACTGTATAAAGCTCTAGTACAGGCAAAACTACTATATGGTTAAATAACTCAGGACGGTGTTACCTGTGAGGGTGAGTGGAGGCAGGGAGAACTGGGACCTTTTGGGATACTAAAGTTTAATATCTTACGGGGTCTGATTACAGAGGTATACACATTTGTCAAAATTCAAGGAATGCTATACTTAAAATTTGTACATTTCACTGTACGTAACTTTTATCTAAAAAAGGAAAGAACTCAAAAAACGATTAAACTCTAGTTAATAATATGCATGCTAAAATACCAAAGAATAAAATGTCCTGATGCTTGCAACCTAGTTTGAAATCT